CGGTCTACCGGTCCATACCGGTCTACCGGTCCATACCGGTCTACCGGCCCATACCGGTCTACCGGTCTATACTGATCTATATTTTTCACTTTCCTGCTCTATGATTGCATTCAAGGTATGAAGGTAACGCACCAGAGAGTTCACTGCACAAGAGGATTTCATTTTAGGCTGCAGCCTGTTGTCTGTAGATCGATATTTTATCGATAGGTCGGGTTTTCCTGATAAACTAGCGTATCATCAGTATTCTGTCACTATCGGTAGACCGGTTTGGACCAGTCAGACCGGTTTAGACCGGTAGACCGGTATGGACCGGTAGCAAGGGGGAAACAGCTAAAATCTGATTTTTTTGATTTTTTTGATTTTTCTGATTTTTTTGATTTTTCTGATTTTCTTGATTTTTTTTTGATTTTTTTGGTTTTTTGATTTTTCTGGTTTTTTTGATTTTTTTGATTTAAATCAATTGATTTTAAATCAACAAAATGCGAAAAGAAAACAAAAAAATCAAAACAGAAATCAGAAAAATCAGAAAAATCAAAAAAATCAAAAATTCAGAAAAATCAAACAAAAAATCAACAAAATCAAAAATATCACTGAAATCAATAAAATCTAATATCAGCTGCTCCACCCTTGATTGATGTTTTGAACAACAGAGATTAAAGATTTTTTGATTTTTGTTGATTTTTTTGATTTTTTCGATTTTTTTAATTTTTTTGATTTTTTTGATTTTTCTGATTTTTTTTCTGATTTAAATCAAAAAAATCAGCGGTTTCCCCCTAGACCGGTAGACCGGTATGGACCGGTAGACCGGTATGGACCGGTAGACCGGTATGGACCGGTAGACCGGTATGGACCGGTAGACCGGTACGGACCGATAGACCGGCCGGTCCGGTATACCGGCCGGTCCGGTCCGGTCTACCTTTCTCTAGACCCACACCGGTACCGGTCTGAAAAAAAGTGGACCGGTTCCATCTCTGCCGGAGAGAGATGCTTTACTTGTTTTGCTTTTCTTTTTTCATCAGCTAAATTCAAAGTTTGAGTAGAAATTTAGGGTTTCTTTGCTACTTTTTAAGTAGTTATACTAGCCTGTAATGCTTCTTTTATTGCTTTTCCAATTTGTGATGCATGTTCATCTAGAGTGCCGTTGATGTGAATGTTGTTTAAGTTGTTTTCCAGTTTCTTCTGGTACGATTTTCTTGTTGTTTGATCGTTTAGCTGGTTCGTGTCGAATCGGTAATTGTGTTTTGGTTTGTTGTGTAGGTTTTTCAATCTTAGTTTGATATTGCATAAAACTAAGGAGTGGTCGGAGCAGATGTCAGCTCCTTGAAATGTTCTACAGTTGATGACGGATGTCTTCCAGCGTTTTTGCACGATGATCAGATCAATCATGTTCTTGTGCAGGCCGTCCGGTGATTTCCATGTCCATTTTCGACTTGGTTTTTGCTGAAGCATTGTGTTACAAATGAATAAGTTATGTAATGTTGCAAACTCTAATAAATATTCACCACGTTCGTTTCTTGTTTCATAACCATATCTACCCATGGCGGATTTCCACCCTGTGTTGTCATCACCTACCTTTGCATTCCAATCGCCAATTATGATAAGTATATCTTTTTTAGGAATTTTTACCATGGCCTGTTCCAAGTCGCTGTAGAACGCTTCAATGTCGTTCTCCGATGCATCAGATGTTGGGGCGTATACATTAATTATTGTTATATTGAATGGTGTTGCTCTAAATCTTGCCATGATTAATCTCGAATTGATAAGATTGTAGCCCAAAAGTGACTTTCGAGCTCTTGTGCTGAGTAACATGCCAACTCCCTCAGTGTGTGTGTTGTTTTCTCCAGACCAAATGAAATCACGGTTCGATGTTTCACCCTTTCCTGTCCAACGTACTTCTGAAATACCGATGACATCGGATCTGTAGCGCTTCATTTCATTTCTTAGCAGTTCCAGTTTGCCAGTTGCCGATAATGTTCGAACATTCCATGTATCAACAGTAAAAATGTCTTTTGTCATCTTCAGTCTTTCTGAGTCACATTTGGTCGTTGCAGCTGTAATTTGTGTTTTTCTTGGAGTTCCATTTGTCGTCGTTGATGGTGCTGTTGTTGTTCTATGAATGGTTGTTCCAGTAACCAATTTTTCGACTCTGTCCTGGTTCCACGACAGAGGACGCGGACCTTGTTCACCAGGGCGACGTCCGAGCCGGTATGATTTTTGATATCTTTTGTTCATGATTGGTTTCTTTCGTCTTTTTTCTTTTACAGACGGTGGTATCTGCACCCCTTCCGTCTAATGCTCCTCCTTTTTCCGGACTTGCGACCGGCACAAAGATCACTGGATTGTGGTCTCCATGGTGGAGTTCCAAATGTTCTTACATTTTTCAATAGCATCATCTCGTAAAAAGGCTTTTATTGAACCTATTTACACATAAAAATACTTTATCGTTTATTAAGATGATTAATTTCTGATGGTGATGTACTTGCTCATGAAATAAGCTGCCATAAATCAATCTGATATTTTTCAAGAATTTTAATGAGTGTTGTAGCAGTTCGGTATTCAAATGCTATTGACTCTACTCTTCTTGCTGAATCTTAATAAAAATACAGTATCAGAGAACAAGACAGTTTGCCTAATCTAAGAGAGCTTCTTACTCACCTCACAATGGCATAAAGCAGTGTAACTAGGCAGTTTCAAGACATCTGAAAGAGAATCTTATTATAAAAAAAAAACGAAGTTGTCATGGATCAATGAATGATGCCAATATCTAGTTCTCAACGATTTACAACACTTATCTTAGTATTGAGATATACTATTTTAATGTGGAAGCCATTTATAAGGGTCATTATTAATCAAATGAAACTTATTTCTAATCCAAGATAGCAGTTAGTGTTGTTTTATTGAATTTCAATAACGATTTATATGTTGATTGAACTTTTTTTCTCTAATATAAATCAATAAAGTTTTTCGAAATTAGTTTTTCTCGCTACACATCACCAATTGTTCCTTTCATATGCAAATCGAAATTAATGGTAGAAAGAATATGCAAAACATCTCCTCTGTGAACAATGAGTCTTTAACATTGAGTTTATTTGCCATGTTTCATTTAAAATCGATTCCTTTCACGTAAAATACTCGATAACAATACTATTTTAGTATTTGGGAAAATAGAAAAGAAGTATTGAATGTTTCATCGCCCTGAACTGTGCTTCTATTTTAATGAACAAGAAAAATTATAACCTGATAATCGACGACCGAACACTCAATAAAAAATGTTCATCTTATTGAATTATCACAAGCTTTTTCATTGTTTTGTAATCACTTATTTTTCTATTAAAAGTGAAAACTGCAAAAGAAAAGCTTTACACTTGGTATTTTATCTCAATAAAATTGCAATATAAAACTTTGAACTAAAAGAAATAATGCTGTGTAAAACAATATAAGTTTTTGAAAACTTTATTTTGATCACACGAAAAGACGAGATTAGGATGATTGTGTTCGATTGTTGTGATCTAAAGTCAAGAGAAATTATTTATGTACCTTTTAATTCAAGGCGAATTTCATCTATGAGAGGTGCTACTTCATATCCGATTGGGAAACCTATTCCGCTACTCAAATTATCTCTTAACCGTTGAAGTTCTTCATTGAAAAATTGAATGTCGACATCAGAAAAATCTTCTTCTTTTCGATAGTGAGTAAGCTGCTCATTTTTTTGTTTCACTTTGATATCCATATCATTGATGAATTTGGTGACCGAAGACGAGATTTCACGACGAACTTTATCAGCCACTTGTCGAATCGTTTCTATCGATGCGTTTTCCCATTCATCGATTTGTTTCATTAATACATTCTGTTACAGCTCGAACTTTTGACCATCAATTCCCATTTTAAATTCATTTAACTGATCTTCAACTATACCTAGCTGATCGCTCGATTCAATATGATGCTCATTGGCGTGCTTGAAACACAAATTTTTTGAACATCCTTTACACGTGTAAAGTTCCTTTGTTTTCTAGCATTTAATACAGACTGTTTCTTGCGTTGTTGTTAGCATGTGATGAATTAATTCACAAGGTAAATGAAATAGACTTCCTACCATACAGCAGCAGTGTTACTCGCATTGTTTTTCTTCTTTGTGTCAACATCAGAATTCTTGCACCATCACAGTATTTTGTTGCGCATTGCGATTTCACTATGGAAAAGTTCTCAGCCAATCATAGTCAAAGTTTCAAAGATTTGTATTGAGGTAAAAAAACAATCATTCGTAGTATACGTATTCGACTCAATATTAAAAAAACCGGAGCAATCTTGAAATTTGTGATTAATGCTTTCAGTTTGCGACATTCTCTTTTGTTCGTTTTTTATTATCGAAGAAAAGTTTTTTAGTCAATTTGAGAAGTGTATTAGGTAGAACTTAATTAATATCAATCGAACTCAATTTTTTACAATTATTTGAAACTTCAACAAATTTATTTAACACTAATCAAGAATATGACAGTTCAACAAGTTAGTCGAAATACAACCAGAAAAAAAATCTGAAAAGATTGATAGTAGATTTATTTAGATAGCTCTTGTCTAGACACTCGTACCTGCTCTTTATTCACGCTCCGAAAATTATTTTTTTTCTAATTGAGAATATTTTTAAATTTCTATTTTCTGTTAATAGTTTCAATTCCTAATTAGAAAGAAGATTGTTATTTGAAAACTATGAAGTAAAGAATTTCCATTGTGATCTAAAATTAATAAAAAAATAGGATTTTTTTGAACACTAAGTATTTTCATTCGTTTTCATGTGAATAAATCGCATCTGCTCATAAATGCCTTCTATTCGTTTCTTCTATCAATATCTCACAAATCAAACCATTGGTATAATTGAAAAATTATTATCTTAAATCAAATTGTTTGAAGCAACAGAAAAACTTTTAAAAGCTATATTATTGAGAGTGTAGGTGTATAGATGAGGGTATCTGTCTTCTAACTGGACTCATTACACTCACACCCACACACATACCTTTATACCTTCTAGTTTCGATGGTGTTAAGTTCTTCATAGTTTCTTCTTATTTTCTATCATTTTATTTCTTTTTATTGCTTCTCGGAAAATCATCTAGAGAAGAGAAACAAAGTTAGTCCATCTATCTCCAATATGTCTTCGCAACGGCTCGAGTACTTTGCCATGCTTCATCTAATGCTCGAATGACTTCGTCTGGTAGAGGTTCTTTTTGTAAGTCATTTAAATTTGATTTCAATTGTTCGACACTACCTGCTCCAATGATAATTCCATCACCATCGAAAGGACGCAATTTTGAGTGATGTACAAGCCATCGAAGTGCTGTCTCAGTAATAGTCAGACCATGATTTTTTACCACCAGTGTAAGACGATTAATGGCATCGAGATAGGCATCATTAAAGTAGCGGTCACGATACAACTTGCCCGTTCGGTTTCCTTCGGCATCGGAGAACCGTCCTTCTTTAGGAATTTCCGACGACGATTTATATCGTCCAGCAAGAAGGCCTCCAGCTAGAGGATTGTAGGCAACAATGTCGATTCCGTAATGTCGACAACAAGGTACGAGTTCCTCTTCTAAGGCACGTGTAAGAGCATTGTACATGCCCTGATAGATTTTTGGACGAACCCATTTATTGGAAATGCAGATTTGTGTAATTTGTGCCACCTCCCAAGCAGCATAATTACTCAATCCAAATATCTTGAATTTGCCTTCTTCGTGAAGCTTATTGACCTCTTCAAGGGTTTCTTCAAATGGGACATTTCGATCAGGTGCATGAAGGTAAAAAATTTCGACAGACTGTTGACCCAGTTCTCTAAGACTTGTTTCAAATATCTGGCGTAGTCTTTCAGGTTTATGCATACCTGCTTCCGTAGGATACACTTTTGTAGCTACGGTGAATCCTTCGTTGAGTACGCCTGTCTCTCGCGTAAAACCTTCCTGTTTACCATCATTATATAATCGAGCAGTATCGAGTTCGGTATAGCCATACGACTGTAAAACTTTGAACATTTCTCTTGTTCCATCCACGGTAGTGATTCGTGCGGCATTTGTCCCCGGAGGGCCCATTGTCATACAGCCCAAAATAATTCTTGGAACCTTGTTACTTGTCATATCGTAATATTACCTTTGGGTTAATAGTCGACGCAAAATTCAATATAAATTTATTTTTCGTTATCGCTTTGTTTTTTTTCCACTCAGATTCAGGTTTTGCAATGTATACAACACTCCTTCTATTTCTTATCTTTTCTCTTTTTTTTTTCTATGTGATAACTTATCTACATCGATGTTAAAAAGCATATGACCAAACCGAGTCAACTGCTTCTGGAGTCATTAACTATAGTGATGAAAAAAAAGACGTAAGAGATAGAGTTGATGTCCCTAAAGCGAACCGACATCTCATAGGTGTTCATTGTAACTCTTATATCTCTGTCATTTTTCATCATAAAATAATTATTTTTATATCACGGAATAGAAAACAAAATTCTGTAGCTTCTTGTGTAAAAAAAAGTTTGTAATAATTAAAATTTTTGAATAATCAGCGGTAGAAAATTAAAAATTGAAAACGTTCACTTTATGTGCATGGTCCCTAATGCGAACGCCCAGCAAAAAAATGTTCCTAAAGCGAACGCTCCACCGTAAAACAAGCTAAAATGTGAAAGGATACAATATTTGTTTGTTTTTGCCTACAAATTTCAATGAAAGTTTTTGAAATTAATATCATTCGATTCGTCGTCTTCAATTATATCATAATCTAGCGGTTCAACTTAATAGGCAGAAAATTCAATGTTTTATTAAAAAAATAAAAATATAATCTCCGTTCGCTTTATGTGCATTACCCATAAAGCGAACGGCCGGCGAGAAAACGTTCCTAAAGCGAACGCACCAACTATTTTAGCTGGACATGAACCCACCTTCACTATTTCAATCATTTGTCATAGACCAACTTCAAAATTCAGTTAAACTTCCGCTGACAAATCTCTTTAGAATTGTTATCTCTACAACATACTAGCGGTTTAAGCAAAATAAGTGAGAAATAGATTCTCCAAGTTCAGATTTCTCTGATTTATCATGTTATAAGCAAAAGTATGAAAAAGATTATATTTCACATATGAATTTGTTTCATTATAAATCATCAGATGTTAATAAGACCTTAATGGTAGCTATGAACAACAGTATATATACTTTTTTACTTGTTTACATATCGGACTATCGCATTGTTGGATTGTTAGTTTGATATAAAAAACGCTTTTCTTTTTGTTTATTTGTATTTTGTGTACTTTGTAAGTTATTTTTTTAAAGAAATTATGATCATGATAAATTATCTAGGCATCCAACTTTGAGATTCTCCAACAAAGATTTTTGTCGATACCCGTTGTATCTGAACAAATACAATGTTCAAAATATACACGATGAAATAATTTGTACAATGTCAGAAAACATTCAGCTATCTTTTTTTCAAAGGTGAAAGGGTGTGGGTGTGGGTTTGTGGTTGCGGGTGTTAATGACAGGAACATCTGCACACACACCGACACCCACCCACCCACACCCACACCCGTACCCACACCCTCAAGTAGACAGTAGTTTTAAAAACGTATTACAAATAGACACATAGACAAAAAAATTAATTACCGTTATGCAGATCCTAGACTAATCAGTCTAGCGAATAATAATGAGTGTATGTTGGCATAAAGGATATTCTCCACAAATGGCCTGATTTGGACTCTGCTCCCCCTTGTCACCTTGGTCTTATGGGATGTGGATGTGAATTAAATAAAAAGCGAATTAACAATGTAAATGAAGCAAAAAATAGAAGAGCAAACACATAGGTAATTAATAAATATGAAAAAATGAATAAATAAATACATAAATGAGTAGATAAATGAATAATCTGTTTTTGTATAGTTTCTGATTTTATGTAAATTTTGAAATTATTTTTAAGTTTTTTTTTGTCGTTTTTTTTAAATGTAAACGGAGGTTAAGCTAATTTAGGATAAGTTAATAACAAAACAAAAAATATGCATCTTTTTTTTTAAATTGTTTTCAATAAGAAATAATATGCTTGATTTTTCTTTGAACGTTTTAAGCAGAAAATCGGTAGTTATCTAATAAGATTAAATGTACTTGCTTTATTTGAATTTGTTTGTAAGAAATAATGTTATTGATTGACACAAAAAAAAATGAGCTTGTTTTTGGAGTTTTTGCTCTAGAAAAATAGAAAATGAACTTGTTTTGAAATAATTTTAGAAAAAAAAGAAAAATGTGTGAATCTGTTTTTAAGATCGTGTTTCAAGAATAAAGAGGGTGAGTGTGGATGTGGGGTATGGACGTAGGGTGCCGGTGTGGAGTATGAGTATGCGGATGTAGGTGTAGCTGTGGGTACGCATGACTAGTAGATCACCTGGACACCCCATATCCACATCCAAACGCACCAAAACCCTCAAGATCATATAATTTTTATGCTCTGTTTCCTCGTCGTTGTGTATTTCCAATTGATCCCCACATAACAAAACGAATTCTGTATAGTATGTCGAAATTAAAATGTGGTATTTATTGTTCACTAAGTAGTGCACATTCATATATTGAATTATCTTATACTGATTTGGAATCTGGATGTCATGGTTGCTTTAACTATGTAATTTATCGATTCAAAAATAGTTTTCGCTCCATTTTTTATCATACTATACCTACAGCTTGGTTGCATTTGTCGACATTTTGCTCTTGAAGAGCTATTAAATATAAGTAAATTAGAAAAGAGAATGGCCTTTTAGAATAAGCGCAGTTAACATTGTACTCCTTAGGCAAAAAAAAATAATCCTGATATCAAAATTTTGGATTATTATATGTGTGACATTAGTCGTTGTATTCTATTAAGTATTCAATTTTGAATAAAATGCATTAGATAGTCATAATCAGAAGTCGCAAACGTTGGCCATCTATTATGTGCCATCTGTTAGACCTGTTCATTCTAATTTTAAATATGAACAATAGCAAAATAGCATAGTAATTATGTTGAAATGTATCCATAAAACTATTACTGTAAATAAAATTTGTTTTTTTTTAATTTCATTTTACTTTAGTAGTTTTCTAAACCGTGCTACCAACACTCATGATAGGTCACTGTTCGCTTATCGAAATTGTTATGTCTATTCGTATTTGTTTCGCGACTTAGAAATACTAAAAAAATCCCAATGAGAAGTTGAAAGAAAGCCGATTCTGTCTGGTCGAACTGACTTTCGATGCATATTATGTTTCTCTATTTTGAGAAAAAGATTGAGACGTTGATAAGCATCTTTCGTCCCGAAATGGTTAAATCAAACTCAATATTCAACGAAACTAAATAATACAGCTTCATAATCATTCAAACTAAAGACATATGTTATTCATATTTCACAAATCAATTATTATTATTGAATTAATTTTTCTTACTTCAATTAATACATTGCTAATGCTGTATGAGACAAACTTTGTTTTTTATAAATTGCATAACAGACAATATCCTTTTAAAAGACATGCAGAATTTACTTTCGTAAAAGGTACATACTCTCTTTTTGATCGAAAAATCAATTACCAGCTGGTCATAACGGTAAAATACAGGAAAGCAATATATATTGGAGACGTTAAAATTTATCTCGATCTGTAGTATATTAGAAAGACTGTTCTACAAGTTGATGTTAGTCTCTTTTCATGCGGTTTTATTTTTATTAAAGTCCTAAATGCATACAAACTATTTACGGAAGTTAGGAGATTAAATAGAATATGCGGAATATTTTGTACACGTTGAATAATTGCATGATGTTATAAAATAACAAAGAGATAGAAAAAATCAAAACTAGAAAATTGTGTGAACTCGAAACACTATAATATCTTTTTTTTCACAACTTTTCTTCTATTGTGTAGCTTTTGAAAATAAATCGATAAAATGTGGAACGTCATTTTCTTGAAGATTAACAGAGTAATAAATTTGCAACCTGTAGACATGTGGTTTTACTGAATATAACTAATAAACAAAGAATTATGAAGTTTTTTTTTTATAATAATCATTGTAAAATTGTTTTCTCATGTCATAAAACACGAGTGTTGTCACTATAGTTCTCTCACATTTAGTGCAACTGGCTAAAAAACTAACTACAGGTTTGTGAAAAATGTTTTCCACTGATCTATTCATTTGCTCTCGTTTACACACTTTTATTATGAAACTTTAAATCTTTTTCAATGTCACGAGTTGATTGAAAAACCTGTGAGAAATCGATTTAACTGTCCAAAAATATGTTTTCATCTTACCGAAGAAAATTTGTGATAGAGCTCAATAAAAATGAAAAAATGTTTAACGAAAGTTTTAATTCTTGTAATTTTGTTCGTATGGAGAACTGGAAATGATGAATAAAGAGCGAATAAATATTTGAGAAAACATGAAAATTTCAATGTCATCTGCTTGTAAATATTTATATTCTTGATGATTATCATTATCATCATGTTGTAATTGTCGATTTTTATTAATTTGTTTTTGACTTGTTGATATTGAATTGTTTGATTGAAAATTAAGTAATTAAATACTATCTTTAAGAGAATATTCGCAAACATCAAATGTTCATCCTTTAACTTTTATTGTTAAAAGATCAAAAAATACTGACGAAATAAATTTACAACAATTATTGTTAAAAATTTACAACAAATAAATAAATTCTTTTCTATGTGAAATATTTTAGCACATTAAACGTTCGAATAACTTGTAATAGAGGATAAGCTTCAAGCATATCACGAAGTAACATATTTTACTTACAGTAGAAGTATAAGTACAAACTTTTGTGTTATTTGTGACCAAATCATCTCTATTTCGTTCTTACTGTAAACCAATAGACTAAAATATTTAACAGATAATGATGATTTATAGTAAAAAGCGTACTTTTAGGTTTCATATTTTTCTAGCATCTGTCGTCAAAAATCTGAGTTCATCATTCGATCGAGCTCGTCAAGTTACATGTGCCTCACAGTATTTTTGAAGTGGCTCAGTAAATGGAACGAATCATTTTGAAGAAACTCTAATTAACTGCTAACTTTCCTTACATGATTGTGAAGCCCTAATGTTTTTTTTAATCCTGTATGATGATGGGAAAAAAACCAAGTGAAGTCATGACATAGTGCACTTTTTTTCTAATCTTCGATTCACTCTCTCTTTCCGTTCTTTAAGCTGTTCGACAGATAAGTGATCGAACAAGCAAAACAAAGGTAATATTTTTATGGGAAAGAAACTGGAGAATCCCAATAACTTATGATCATGAGTTATCTAACGTAAATGGATGAATGCGTACAAGCCAAACTTATTTAGTAATGTATGTATAAGCAACATAATGCTTTTATCTTTTGCATAGAACAAACGACGATACATTACAGTGTTATTCTTGTCGTCAGCACACAATATTTCGTACGAATACAGTGAGTAAACGGAAGCCTTTTGAAATTGTATTTTCCTCAGAAGGCCTTTTTCATCATCAGTATCCAGCAGATTTTTCTATTCTTAACCCTTTGATGTCGGGATTTTTCAAAAAAAGAAATTTTTTTGTATAAGTGAAAATAGATGTTTATTCAATCAAAAATTTTTTAAAGTATGATAGGCTTTGAAATAATCAGTTATGCATAACCCAATATCGCATTTCTCACACTGATATCTTGTACATTTGGCTGATTTTTCAAGTTTTGTTATATGAGCACATACATGACATTTCCTTTGCGCAGTTTTCTTTGAAACAGTTGAGGGTACAAATGATGGAAAATGTCTAGCAGATAAACTCAGTGGTGAATCAGTTGCTGATCCCGCAGCCGACATTCGTTTTTGATTTTCATACTTTGATAGAATGTATAGGGAGAATCCAGATACAGAATGTATGGTAGCACAAGCAGAAAACTCATTATGTAATGTTGGAAAATACTAAATGCACTATGTGTGAATATCTCCAACACTTTCAAAATACTGATAATTTTCTGTATTAACAAAGGAAAATTACTCTATAGACTATTTTCACTTATTTTTGCATGATTTGGTATATGTACTATATCTCCGAATTTTAAGAAATACTCAAAGTGGTATATATACCACGTCCGGCATCAAAGGCTTAATCATTGTATAATTCATAGTAACGAACATCTGTCAGTAAGATTCAAACTGATAAACACATGATGCACAAGTTTAATATTTAGTACATGTGACTAAAATCGTATAAATACAAAAACTAAAATCTATAAATACTTACAAAATGGTACAATAAATTATTATAAATCAACCAATTACCTTATATCCTCATACTCCCGAAGTTTGAATATAACAAAAAATACTAATTAATTAGTATTTGATGTATACAATCAATATAATAGAGAGATCAGAAAATAAAATGTGCACAATAAGATCTCTTACTTTGGTTTTATTAGTAAAATAAAAATTCTTATCCACTATTTTTTTATTTATTGTGTTTAATACGGCAATTTTTTATGAACACTTGAGCAAGTGAATGGCATCATATTGTTTATTAAACTTTGTTGTTATTGTAAAAGAATTTTGCCTAGAGAATTTTTTTAAAATATGTTTGTACATTCCAAACTCAACTAAATTCTCGTGTTTACTGTGACACATATATTAGAATTAAATCTGGGGGTACCAGATTTGACCTCTTCACCGGCCAGGTTCTTTGCAAAAAAGTTTCGTTTTCTTTTGCATGCGAACTAGTTGATGTAGAAGATCGATTTGCGGTTGTTTCGGAAGCATTCACATTGGTGTTGTGTGCACGCTTTCTCCACTGCCCACAGTAATCGTAGACTGATCTGAGGTACTGTTGAAATTCTGTTTTTTTTTTGTCTTTCGATTTTTTCTTCTTTTCGCACTTTTTGGTGGTCGAAAAGAAGACGAGATACTTGTATTTTGCAATTTTCTCTTTTTCTTTTCTTCATTACCGTTCTCAATGGTATCGAAGGTAGTTAACTCCGTCACGCCGACAGATTTTTTCTGTTCTACACAAGCATAAAGAAAAATCGCTTATTTTCTCTCTCTTGCGCTCTGTCATGTTAATCAATGTCGTAGATTAGCTAGGTAACGAGGAAAACGACGACAGAACGCAAGATCTGTATTTTGCGTTCTGCTTGGCATCTACGAGATCCCAGCCGAATCGAAAGTGGTAAGTATATATGCGTCACCCTCCTTGAAAGGGTTTACCGTTTTCTTTTTCTTACTCCCAAAGAAAAAGAAGTATTAGTTTTTCTTTTTTGTTGGCTCTTTCATTACTCGAAAAAATTTCGACCCGATCCTCTTGTTTTCCTCTGTTTCTGTAGCAGGGGAAAATCGTTATTTTTTTTTCTTTCCTTCTGTCGAAGACAAACAATCATACGTCGACATTTGGCACGTTGCATCAAAATAGTAACATCGATATGGTGGATACATTCGTAATTCACAAAAATCATCCAACACATCTTACTGAATGTCCTAGTTTGACGAAATTCCGTCAAAATTCGACAATTGATGATATTCGAGCATACATAGAATCTTCAGTGGAATTACCAACTCTTGATTCCTATAACTATGAGATTCATGTTTACAATAAAGAATATTGCAAATATGTTATGCTTGAACAAAATTATTTGGATAAATTTAAACCATTTCAATGTACTAATATCATCAATAATGAAGAGTCAAATGTATCATCAATTGAATCTCATATTGATTACTATGTTGAGTTGGAAGTTATTTGGTCAATAAAGAAAAATAGCCGAGTAACATCTGAACAAATACTGTGTAAGTTGAATTTTTGATATTTCCTAATGATTATTGTCTAATCTTTTCTCTAGATCACGATGAGCGGAAGCTTTCCAATTGTCTTCCGAATAATAATATACAAGTGTCTTCTTACGAAGTGGAACACTGCTTAAGTGAGTCAATTGCCTTAGATATTTATATTCAAACTGATGTGTTGTTTATTTAGATACAACACCAGTATTATCAGTAGCAAAGAGCATTGATTCGACTCAATCTGGTCAGTATACTACTACCATAGTTCTTTATTTCTCTTCAAACTTTAAATCTAAATTTAGATAATAACGGCGTCTCTCCATCCGACATTAACTATCAAACTTTGAGCATCAATCCTGTTACAAATAAACAAGATTCAATATCGTTGATGTTACACAAAAAAGATTCAATTTTAAGCACGAGTAAACAAATATGATGAGATTTGACATTGATTTAATTCTATTCTATTTATCTATAGACGTCGACTCGAAGATTCCCATTGATGTTCTATTGGTATCATCGACAGATGAAAAAACTAGTTCAGGTTTGTTTATTTGTCTTTCTCGTTTGAGAATTACTATCATAAATATTTTTTTGAGTACAATATTTTCTTACATAAAAATCTAACTAACAAGAATTATTAATAATTTCTAATAATTCATCTTTCAAACAGAACACTTTAGTTAGTTCAAAGCCGTTTTTACATGTGATTATCAACAAATGATTGATCCTTGCAATCTTTTTTTTCGTTTTCTCTTGTAGAACAATATAGTGATGTGACATATATATCACCAGAGTCAAAAATTCCAGTTGCCTCGACTATTGAAAAGGCCTATCCATCATCTACTATACTAGAATTTTATAAGAGTACCGGTATGTAATTCTACAATAGAAGACTTTAATGACGTTTTTTGACTCTGATAAATATGCTGTGATCATATATAATTGGTAATTTTGTTCATTTTCTCCTTAGGTTACGATACAAATATACAAATAAATTCACCATTATCTCCATCAAACGTTTACCCTACTAATTCCAAATCAAATGCATGTCAATTGTTGTCTATAACGACAAATGAAAACTTAGGTAAATTTTCAAATAGAAAAGCATAAAATACTGCTCTGAATAAAATGGATTGAAGAGAAAAAAAAAGGAAATTATTCTATACTGTATAATTGTTTATTAGATATGTGCAGATATTCTCACTAAATAATAAAGAAGATAAACTTTTCTATGTTTTTGAGGAAGACATTATTCGTAAGGAATGTATAAGAACCTTTTTGACTATTTTTCACTTTTCTCTTTGGTCAATTGTATTAAAATCAGAAAAGAGCCTAATATAGGAAGAAAAAATTCTACAAGCTGTCTGTTTGTTATTTAATGGTAGCTGAAAAAGATCAATCAGCGAAGAACGAAGTTTTCGAAGTTCCTAATCTTGATTGTTTTTTTTATTAGAAATAATATTTAATCAAAATGATTATTATTTCCTAACTTAAATATAGTGGAGTTAGTACTTGATAAATTCTTTTAACTTTCTGGGTGTCTTACAGAAAGAATAGACAAAAAAATTAATCTTGCTGTAACGTCTTTTCTTTTCGAAATCAATTTTTAAAGAAAAACTCTAATAAATGTATACTTTTCAAAACATAAAATCAATCAACTCAATGATATTTTCAATATTTGATCTTTGTTATTAAATGCAAAAAGTTTTTTTGAAACTTTCTCCCAATTAGAGTGATGACAGACATATGAGACTTTTGATTGTGGCCAAAGAGTAGAAAAAATTCAGCATAATACGACCGCTTATATTTTCTTTGTTTGCTACTCGAAATTTGTATGTTTTTAGTTGTTTTTTTAGGAGACTAGAAAAGAATGGAGGAAGGGTGGCGCTTCTCTCCATTCTATTACAATGCATTTTTAAGATTTTACATCTGAGTATATATTTGTACAGTAGATACCAAAATTAATCAACCAAGAGACTAGATTTGTCCTTCTGTGTTTAATGATAGTTTAAACAGTAGAGGAACACATTCGATATTCTCTTTGCTCAGCAAAATCCTTTTTCTTTAGATTGTAATGCAAAGAATTTGAAAGATAATGACGATGATTTTAACATGAAACCATGTTTCAGTGAAATTGATTGTGATGAAATCTATCGAACAGCACACAAAGGTCCAGAAATAGGACGAGGAGTAAGTGTGCAAGAAATAATGAAGAATATTCATTTTTAAAAATTCCTTTCATAGTCATACGGTATTGTTTCGTTATATGTAACAAAGACCAGAAAAATGATTGCTGTCAAAGAAATAAAACTTGACGAAGATGACAGTGAACGACTTTGTGGTGATTTTAAATGGGTACAAGAAGTCTATATTCTCCGTGCACTCGATCATCCTTATGTTGTCAAGTATGAAATAGTGATATTTATCCTGTTTATTGAGATAGTACATTTAATAATTTTAGATTTTATGGCATCTCAATTGAAAATAGCCGTTTGGTAAAAATTTTTACGGTATAAAATCCTATTGATCTTATAATAATACAACAGAATCATTTAGGAATATATTCCAAATGGAACAATCGACAATATGCTCAAATTGTTTGGTCCATTTTCTAATAATGTCTTACAAAAGTATACAAGGCAAATTGTTGAAGGTGTTGCTTATCTTCATGATGAGGGTGTTGTTCATCGGTAAAGATTGTAAAATAGCTCTTTTAGCGTGTATATATTTGTTTTATTCAGAGATATTAAAGGCAAAAATGTGATGTTGGATAAATGTGGCAACATCAAATTGATTGATTTTGGTTGCGCAATACGGCCTAAGGAAAATCCAAATACGAATTCAATAGAAAAAATATTTGAGTCGATGAAAGGTCGATTGGAGATAGCTTCAGTTCTCTTTTATTTGTTCTATAATATTTATTTACAGGTACATTCTATTGGATGGCACCCGAGATAGTTGCCAAAACAGGGCATGGAGAAAAGGTAGATATTTGGTCGATTGGATGTACACTATATGAAATGGCTACAGGAAAACCACCCTGGTCATCTGAAGACAATTTTTGGGCTGTTCTAATCATCATTGGTGAGATCATTTTTTACATATTACATACAATGTGTTTTCTTGTTTTTTTTTAGCTCAGGGCACAAAACCACCAGATGATCTACCTGACAGATGCTCGCCAGAAGCTCAAGAATTTTTCCGTTTATGTCTTACTCGTGATCCAACATTAAGACCTTCAGCAAGCGACTTGCTGTCTCATTCGTTTCTTAACTCTTGAGAAACAATTGTCTTGCTTTCGAACTCAATCATTTGTCTTTCTATATTTATTTATTTTTCAACATGAAATGTTTTTCAATCGCTCATCTTGAGAGTAAGGGTGGGTTAGAGTTACCATAACATGTTTCTGCCTGACTAAAGAGGCCATCAGATGTTTTGAAACTCGTATAAATATTTTCAACGTAAGTATAAGACGATTTTTAAATTCTAAGACGCCTATGATGGTCGTTTCGAATTTTGCTTAAGGATTCATCAACAGGTAAATTTGGAATTACACACTGTATATTAATTAAGGAGATGAGTTTGTTCTACTGAATGAACTGTAAACAAAAGAGTAAAATAATAAATTGTGAAGTTGATCGTTTCGGAACCCTTATTACTTCTATTGGATATTAGCCAAGATAATTTTATTCGATATATACATATGTTTTATTGTGAAAAATAAGTGGCTATATATAGGTTTTCAACACTGCATTCTAAACGAAGATCTAAGAGGGAACATGACCTAATGAACGAATACGTATGACATCGTGAGAGAATAGAAGAATATCTGATGTCATGGAAGAATATAGAAGATGTAAAAGTACATATGACGTAAGGAAAGAATACGGGATGTAATGAGAGGAGGAAAATCACAACGTATAGAAGAATGCGCAATAGTGAATAGATGATATCAACTGATTCGAACACTTCGTAGTACCTTCCCCACTACAAGATGAAACGTCCAGCTCATCATCATAAATATTAACATATTGACAGAATCGAGAAGAATTTGTCATCTTCTTCCCATATGATACTGTCAAAAATCGACGTATATCACATTTGCATTTGTAATAAAGGTTCCTATAGAATAAGCCGAATCCGTGAAACATGTACCTTATCTATATGACCATCGTTGATATGCTTAACTTCGTAATTCAATCCACTAAGTTGCGAGTAACACAAAATGGACCATAATATTTCGGTGAGAATTTTCGAATAGTCTTCAGCATCATTGGTTTGAGGAAGACCAACTGTCCAGATTTGAGTGATGTTAAATAATGGAAGCTGTTGATTTAGCTTGTTTTAAAAAAAGACCGACCCCAGTATAATTCCCCCCCCCCCCCCCCAGATTAAAAGGGCATGCCCTTATACAGTGTCTTGGCACATCGCTACTTTTTGGATGGCCTTCTATTGGGGGTCAATTTTTGACCAGTTTTTAATTAAAATCATTTAAAAATTTAATAATTAATTAATAACTATAATTATTGTTTTTTAGGTGTTTTTTGCTGAAAAAACTACCATTTTTTGTAAAAACTGTACTATTTATGATAGGAAAGGAAGGATTTCGTAAAAAAAAACATTAGAAAATCGGTTATATTTCCTTAATTATTAATTAATATTTATGAAAATTTTGATAATTTTGGAATATATTAATTAATTAGTACATGGCCTTCTAATAGGGCGTTTGAACTTTTGGTCGGACATGACCTTATACAGGGGGTGGCCGTCTATTTTGGGGGGATTTAGTGATCGTTCACCGTAGATAATTTTGTGATCTGACTGGGAGTGTCAGATGGAAGAAGACAAATAATCTGTGCATACCAAAACATATTTGTTTTCATTAGATGATTGTGGGACGGTTCCAATAAAGTCCAAGCCCATAAGATCCAGAGTTCCAGTTGGAGGTTCAATTAGTTGTAGCTTGCCGGCAAGCTTTGTTCTATCAATCTAGAATCGTCTACATTTGACATATGAGAGTACAGATTCTTTAATTTTGTTAAACATGCCAGATTAGAGGTATCAATCACGGATTTTATGCCAAGTTTTATTCATACCTAAATGACTACTTGTGAGATTGTCGTGATAGGCTTGTAGCAACTGATTGATCATTGATGTTGGGACATACAACACTTTTAATGTGGTCTAACCAGGTCGATGAAGTATTTTATATACCAATCCATCTTCTAATTCGTAGGATGCCCATGCAACTATGAAACGCATTTTAGATGCAGCTAGACGCGTCTATGTTGCAAATCTTCAGCGTTCCAACGCGTTTTTATATTGAAGCATGATGAAAACGCATCTAAATGCACCAACCACTGTGTTTCACGAACACGTTTACAGAAACTTCATAGTTTCGCAGCATATTTTTAGATTAAACGCATATAAACGTATTTAGTCCATTATTATGAAATGCGTTGAGACGCACTCATATCATTCTATGCCTCTGATCACGATTAATAGTGGAAAGAAACTATGTCTCTTCCACTAACGCTATCTAATTGACAGACTCGATAAAACGCGTTTCACTGGATGCTTCTGTCTAGCTGTCGAATTTGCGAAAAACGCACTTGAACATATAGTTATATAGTTTAGATAGTGGGGATCAATACTTTGAAAAGGAAGTTGTGCCTGTACGAAATTGCATCCACGAATCCGACATGCTACTTCTTCGTTGCAATGGTATTGCGATTGGAGGAAATTCTATTATGTAATTCTATTAGGTTTACAAGGTAATAGCTGAAAGAAAAAAATTGGCTTTTCTAATTCATTTGGATAAACATATCAGCTTTCTATTAAATCATTTGAGCAAGAATAAGAAACCGAAACATATTTCTATAAATGGTTCTTTATGATATATATTTTAAGCAGGATAATTTTTCACAAATATCTCTGTAAGTTTTCAATTGATAATGATTATCTTGTTTTCGTTATTTCTGTATGCAGCGATTCAGAATCATACAACACTAATCCAAGTTTACAATAAGGACCTGATTAGTAGATGCTATACGAAAATCTATCTATTTTTATTGAAATTAGAATAACTCAATGATATTCTTTTCATCGTCCATGTATTCATGCTTAAACTCTTAAAGCATCCCTAAATGTCTACAAGCTATGCAATTTGATGCGTTTGAATGCGTTTACTTTATTCTCAGAAAAGTCAGAAAATAATCATCACTGTGTGTTGGAACCAAACTGGAGTTTAGCATTCAGATTGCATTACTATTATTAAAATATAATTAAATCGGGTTCGATTTAACAGATTAATCATATAAATAAGTATGCCTATGATAATAGATTGTTATCTGCAGATCTTTTATTAAAAATATTTAATTTTTATCGAAATTATAAGTATCGCTCTACATTACTTTTAAAATACTTAAGAATGGGCAGACAGTAGATTATAATCTTAAAAGTTGTTGGTCACTTCATCATTTATTTCTTAGACAAACAAATAAATCATTTGAATATGATGCTTGTATTTTCAACTATTTCATTTTATCGGAATGTCACAAGTGTTTTTTCAAATAGAGTTATCGGCTTATCTTTATTGTACTCTATAATAAAACGACTCGAAATAAAACTTAGAGATTCATGCAATAAAGATAAATATATTACGGAATTTTATTACTTATAAACATAAAGATAAACAATTTTTTAAAAGGGTGTCGGGTGTGGGTGTGAACTTAGATGAAAACAAGATCCACCCCA